ACTTCATACACATCAGAAATCTTCTCCACTTACTTTTAAACCTTTTGACCCCTTGAAAGTAACTCAAATCTATTTCCTTACAATATCACCACTGGATACCAAATTAAGATCACCTCCTTAAAGGAAATTATCGCCAGTTAAAGAGGCCCTTCATTGTTAAATAAATTCTCCTTGTCAGCACCTTAGGAAATGTCTAAAGAACAGCATGGAGACTACTGATCTAAGGACGTAAAAGGGTTAAAGATAATTATTGGCAAACTTTGAAATATCTAAACCCTAGATTTCTGAAATAAATTTCAATTCCATATTAACCTTTCTACAACTCACGTGGGGAAAACTATGACATATTAGGGATTTATCCATCTTTAGAAAACCAAGACTTACCACTTATATAAATAAGTATAGTTTTAACTAGTTGGACTTTATATTTCTGGTCTTTTTACACAACTTTTCCATAATTAAAAGCCGACTGTAAGCTGTAACTTGTCTTGTGTATCCTCTTTTATGGAATATTCACATTTGGTCTCTGTTGTGGTAAAATGTTTCTTGCCCTGAAGTAGTCTGTCAGTTGCTTGGGAACCTCAGCCAAGACTTCTTTTGCTAAGGCAGCAGGAGAAACCTAAAACACAAGCTTACTACTTACTCTATTGATCATGCCATAAATTCTTAGTTGATGATCAGAAGATATTTATTATTTTATTACTAGCTCTGCATGTGGGTAAGATGAAGTGAAATCTGTGTTTGAATTGATTCACTTCACAAGCAAAACCAGTCTATCTTTCCTGTTTTGAATTGGCAACTGAATTTACATGACTGTATTGACTTCCCTCAATAAGATAAACTCTTGGTTTATTAGGCTGGCTTTCTTGTTCATAATGTAGACTCTGTTCTTTTTCCCATTTCATAGACCAAAATTTCACCTTGCCCATGACACACTGACACACCCACACAATGTGGCTTATATCAAGCCATCTTGACTGGTGATGACAAGTGTAAAGGGTTTGTGATGGAATCATACCTGAATAGGAAAAAACTTTCCCTGGAAAGCCATATTCTAGAATATATTTATACCAATATATATCCTAAGGAAGGGGGAAAAGAGGAAATTTCAAACAAGGGAGTGGTCTCTAAAGTTGAAATAATAAACAATCACTTGCTTTTCAGTGACAGTCCAGGAACCCATGCAAAAGAATTATGGGCTTCCCATGGAAAAACCAACTGTGGTTTGTAAAAAATGATCAATACAAAGCTTACATTTTTAAATTTCCTATAGGGGACAAACTGAACAATATCCCTTTGAGCAGCTTTTCCATGAGCCATCAACCTGCTGGCAAAAATGAGAATAAATTATCTACTCAGCAAGGTGTAATAACAGTACTCTAATCTGCATTTTCGGGTTCACTGTACTTAACATTTTAAGCGACCCATACATATGACTCTGATTACCTCTGATCATTTCTATGCAGATCTGAATACATAAAACACAACACTGAATATAATCAACTATCCTGTCCTTAAATTGTTAACCTGTGCATATGGGCACTCATATAGGTATTGTGGCAGAAGCAGCAATTTTGCTCACCAGCTTTACTTTGGTAGGAAGAGCTTGTCTGAGCTCCTGTGTCTGTGAAAGCCTGCTTGTATGCTAAGACATACTAATCAAGAATGTGAATCTATATTCTGATTCATGTCACCTGTGTGGCCACACAGACACTTTCATTGATTGACACTAATAAAGTCCAAGTTCAAATGGCCAGAAAAAGCCCTGCATGTGTATGGCCCAGCAAGATGAAAAATGCAAGAAGACAAGAAGTAAGACTGAGCAACAGTCAATGATAAAATGCTGAGACAGAGTTACATTTAAGTCCTATTGGAAGGGAAAATATTAACTTAACTCAATGAACAAGTACTTACACTTGGTCATCACTATCTAGTTCCTCCATCATTGCAAAGTCAGCACTTCCAACACCCACAATAATGATTGACATGGGAAGTGCTGATGCCGCCACTACAGCCTCCTTGGTCTGATCCATGTCTGTGATTACACCATCAGTCAATAACAGTAGTATGAAGTAGTTCTAAAAAAGCAATTCAAGCAATAATAAATTGTGGACAATGTGGCATTGGTTAACTATACCCTAAGATGCTTGATAAAATTGAAATAAGGTGGTACAAAACTTTGGTAAATACAATGTAAATTTATGTGTTGGATTAGATAAAGCATGTCCCTGTTTTTACAACTTACAGTGGCAGTTTGGGAGTGGGCTGCTTCATGTGCAAAGTGAGCCACATGGTTGATGATAGGTGAGATGTTTGTTGGACCATAAAGTTGTACACTCTGTATACAGGCTTGATAAGCTTGTACCAAACCAGCAAGACCTATTAAGTAACAAGACTAGGTTACAAACACCAATGTAATGATCAAGTTGTGACATTATATGAATATGCTCTAGAAGCCTATTGGTTCTGAAGTTGCAAAGAGCAATAAATGCAGCATGTTAATTTCATGTTGAAGCTCTTCTCAGGTAAATAATTCTCAGTCAGGACATTTAAAACTGATAACAAATAAGTTATAAATAATTGAAGTTCGCACCTGCACAATATGGGTTATTGGGATTAAAATTCAATGGAAACTGGTGAGAAACCTGAAATGAAAAAAAAAGGGTTTGTGCAGCAGTTCCTTTCCATTAGAATCTTGTCACTTTTACTATACAGGTAAATTTCAATTTCAAAACTTAAAGCCTAGAAATATTAATCCCACATCACAATTTGATGACAGCTGCCTTGGATGTATGCTTAAAAACTAGAAAGAAAAAATATGAAAAGAGTAATGCCTAGGGGAAAAATAAATACACTAACTAAAATAAACAAACAGGGACATTAAGAAACGTGTTTCCCAGATTTTTAAGAAAAAGTGAAAAACACTGAGGTATTTTTCATTTAGAATATCACTAATAAAATGTTCTGCCTGGAAAACCTACCTGATATGTCGGTGGAATTCTTGCTCCAAATCCAAAGGATGGAAAGAGTTTATCACTAGGAATGTGATAATGATGATTTATATACAACTACAAAACTTATTTCCTCACATCAAAACATGATTTTAATCAACTTTGCTGCATGCACCTCATTGCTGAGTTAACATGCTATGATAATCATAATTCGTTGATTGATGTTTTCCATTTTAGAGTTTGAGTAGAGAGAAGAACAGAAAAAAACAAGGTTAAAGTGCCTTTTGCAGGACTTCATGTAATTACTTAGAGCCAAAGTTAGCCCTCAAACCTGGACCTTTCAACCAGTTGTCCAGCACACTGACTACTATAGGAGAGAGGCATTGGGATTTTTGGTTTTGCAGTTTGGTGTTCATCGCAATTTGCAGATTGTCTGCTTTAAAACATTTGGGTTTTGGTATTCGTAAAAAACACTACTGGGTTTTTGGATTTGGTATCTAATAGGGTTTTTTGACTTTTCCTATTTGGGTTCCAGTTGCACCACCGGCTGTGAATTAGATCATTTAAAGTTTTGATAACAGGAACGTGAAAATTTGTCAGTTTTGATGGTTTTGCATGCGGTTTTTGGTTTAGAAAATTTACAAAATAATGTGTCAGTTTTCTGGACTGATGGAGGGCATGAAACTGTCCTCAAATCTACACACCTATCATAGTCCTGGATGATTTCTCCTACAGCTGTCAGAGCCTGCTGATACTCATTTGGTGCATAAGGGTTGATATAGTGAAGAGATGTTGACTGGTTTGGTTCACCATTGGAAGCCGTAAAATCTATGCCAACCTATTGGTTATAATCAAAGAACACCGTAGTTATTGATTCAGAAATGAACAATGTGAATCAGAAGTTGTTTCTTTATTTTCATAACAAAAAATGGATACCCGGAGCTATCAACACTGTTCTAAGATTGCTGTTATAAATTTCCAAATATATATTTAAAAAAAAAACAGAAATAATTAAGGTGGCTGATCTTTCAGAAAATTTTATATTAAGTAAAACAAAGTGCGACTTGAACACATTTTTAAGTTTGTTCCTCTACCCACACTTCTCTGCACTGAATTCTTGACTCCTTTAATCATCAGATAAGTGTGAACATGTAACTTTTCATTTCTATGTCTATACATACTCCAACATATATAGGTGATGAGAATAGACAAATTCATCAGCTAGAGAGAATAATCTTGACTCAACTCCAAAAACTATAGGAGCCACGAGAGAGAATTTTGGCTGAGACAAAATCATATAAATTAAAGAACTCTCCCTGGGTTTCTTATTTCCATCAAGTTAAACATAAATCCACAACTTACTGTGAAGTTTAGCTGGCAGCCACCTTGAATGAAGTCTAAGAATGAAGATACTTTCACAACCTGATGAAAGGATAATTTTTAACAGATAATGATTAAACACTTCAAAAAGATTATGCAGTAACCAAGGGAATTTAAGCACAACCCTTAAATTGGATTGTTTTTTAAAACTGGGCTAAATCACTGTGAAGTGTGACCCTTTGCTGTCTCAATAATCTCTAAACAGAAATAATTTGTCTGCAAGAAACTTTGTCTTTCAAGAGGAACAATAATCTCTTTGATATTAATTGTATATGTCCTGAACAAATTACAGAAAATCAATGGAGGACTAATAGCTAAACAACAATTTCAATTATATTAATGAAAATCAAAAAACCAACCTCACATTTCATGACAAAAACTACTCCAGAATTTTTGTAACCACGCTTTTTCTTCTGTTTCTTTTCATTAATACATGGCCACTAAAAACAAGCAAGAGGATACATCGTTTATTTTAATTTGTTCCCTATCAATAAAAAACTTAACTGTTATAGGCTGATCTACTGATCAACTGTATGGGTTTCATGATAATTTATCTATTCAGAAAGCAATTAAATAATGACATAATGTATCTCAGTGATTTTATATCAAATCTCAGAAACTGAAGTCTAACATAAAGGATTCCAAGAATCAATATTATTATAATAGGAGTTTACACTCCAACTTCCAGAAGTGACCAACATGCTACCTCTCTTTACAGTTTTGATACACTATCCAGAATATAGCTAATGAGGATAGACAAATTGATCAGCAAGAAGGTGTTATCTTCAAGTTGATGAAATATAAAATTATCATTTGGTAACTAATATTCTAGGAAACACCTTATTCCTAAAGAGGAGAATAACTAAAACCATATTGTAGAGGTCACAGCTTCAAAAATTTGACACCAAGGAAAACTTTGAACAACAGGAGCATAAATTCCAGGTACTACACTAAATTCAAATAAATGTCTTTAACTTTGTTCTGTACCTCCCTTGATGGTTGAGCAGAGCACATCTCACGAAGATTTGTTGTAAATCCACCAATAAAGTCGTGTGATCCATCAGAATCCCAATCATAACACAAAATCTAAAAAAAAACGATGGAAAATAATATTATATATTATTTGAAACTTCCATGTCCAGGGAACACCCTTAGAACTAGAAAAAGTGTCCCTCTACATAATATAGAGGTGTTCCTTCAATGAAGGCAACATATACAATCTATCACTATGGAACTTTATTCAAGATACACAATCAGGACAAGGAAAAGATCCCCTAAACAGAGGTATCCCTTTTAAAGAATGCAACACATATAATGGAATTTCTAATCAGGGATATACTCAAGACTAAAATTAGCATGTCCTTATGAAAAAAAGACAATAATTGTGTCTTTTCAAGGAAGGTAACATATGAAAAGGGAATGGGAGCCTTTTTAAGACTGTAGGAGACAAGTTTTTCTTCTTTGGCTGAGGGTATCCCCTCAATAAAATGTGTGCTAACTCTCTAAGTTTATCCACAAGTCTTCCAGATACAGGACAAAATTTATCTCCAGGTCAATCAGTTTTCTTTATAGTTTTCCTTAGATTTTTTGAAGGAAACTGCATTTCAGTTGGATGGAAAGAGCTACGATATCCTTCTTTAAGTACTTACTCGAATGGTCCTGTCATAATCTCCATTGCACAGCTGCTGCACTGGAATCTGAAATGGTTTCCATTTGGGATTTAGGTTGTTCTGAATAACCTGTATAAAGGTTGATAAAAACAAGGTCATTGTAATTATAGAAGGCATCAAAAATATACATCTTATCCAATCATGTACATTCACGAACTAACCTCTGTCCTATGTACAACAACAAAACTTCCATCTTCCTTTGATCTTGCAAATTCCAAATAGGGATCACTCTTTCCAAGAAAATCCTTGAAAAAATTTTAAGAGAATGGAACATACATGCATAAACATCTTAAAAACACATTTATGACATTAAAATAAGTTGCTCTACCTTAGGTAAAATTGATGATAATAAGGCTTGTGTGTGTGCATGTTTCATGCAAATCACCCCTGCTATGAAAAAAAAATGCCATAAAACTACGTCTGTTCCAAAAGTCACCCTTACCCTTGTTGGTCTTCTTTTAATTTACGGGAGAAATTGCATCATCAATTTTCCTCACTGTTTCTACACACTGGCATGTTATCAGATTATGAGAATTAAGAAGATTATCAATCAGGGGTTTATTGCTTAAATGTAACCCCATATTCTCAGGACTGTTCCAAAGAGAACTATACAACCAGTTGTTTGGAGAATTTAGCTTTCAGAGATTGGGAGTGAAAGGATTAACAACCCAGCCCAGATCTAGAAGTCCACAGTAGTGGCACTACTCCTGGTAACCTGTGCTGTTGAGTTAATTCTGCTTATCTTCCATCACAATTTCATTGTAGAAAAACAGTATGCACTATTTGTCATAACAAAGCCATGCCACCAACCTTTTTGTCTAACTTTTCAGCTCTAAACTGGAAATGCACCTCATCATTTCCACCAGAAACTTCTTCTGCTACCACCTAATAATTGCAGCAGGTTATTTAAAAAATGAATACAAGTGTTTAGTTAACATCAAACAGTACTGGGACCAAATTACTAACTAAAGAATTATTAATAATTCAACTGACTAATACTTGTAAAAAACAATGATCTTAGCATTACCATTATCATTTTGCCTTATGATATCATTAAATGTAATTTTTAGTTGTAAAGAAGGAGGGAGGGAGGGTTTGTTAAAATATTTACAATATCAACCCACCGTTATCATCCCAGCTCGATTCTCAGCAGTACCTTTAAGAACTAGTGGTTTTGTATAAGTTCCAGATGACACAAGCTGGAAACAAACATGAGAAATCATGATCAGGGAAATTCAGTAACACATCTCATTGTTTTTTACTTTTATTAATTGTTATTGAATAAATAGGGCTCTTTTGATATAGCTAGCACCTGGTACTTTGAATTGAAAATATTACTATGAAGATCTAACCAGGATTGTCGTATGATATGTAATATTATTCCTTTACCACGCCTTTTTACCATATTAGGGAAATAAAACATGCAAAATATGGCATGGTATGGCATATTTTATGGCATGGTATGGCATATTTTATGGCATGGTATGGCATATTTTATGGCATGGTGGACAGAAAGCAGAGCAACAAAATGGCCACACTAAGTGATCCAAACTTCCATTTTTAAGGCTTGACTTTTCAAGAAATAATTTCTTGGCACCTCATATTTTTTTTGTTTGTCATAGAAAGCACGTCATTGGTTTTACTTCTGTCTTTCACACAGGCCATTTTCAATTGATACTGTGCTCAGATGTACCATGGGGTGTATTTCCAAAACACTTGAAAATGAAATAATAATGCCAAAATTATGAGTATCTCATTCAATGGTTCACAAGTCATATAATATGAGAAGACATTCCGCTCATTCCTCATATTTTTCTATATATACGTGTATTACAGGTTAAACCATTGAATGAGATGTATTTACACAATGTGGTTAATCACTTAGCTCTAAAAGAACTTCTCTCTATAAAGGAGTACGTACAGGGTAATGGTGAAACGTCACTTGAAACCAAAAGTAACAACCTGCTTGGTGAGTTAAGCTATGATGGACTAAGTACATCTGTTATAAAATGATCAGCAGCAAAATTATCATCAATTCCATTAGTGCTTCCATTATCAGAAATCAGGATAAGCTTTGGCGGCAAGAGACTGTTAGCTACAAGTGTGCAGACTTTTACGATACTGAAATGTGGAGCAAGTACAAAGAATTTACAGCTAATGAATGATAAATTACCTGAGTGGCTACGAATAATTATTCTGTGATATTTCTGCAAGCAGTTTAAGATTTATTCATTTGGAGTTCAGTGTAGTTAAACTGTTAAACATAGATGTAGCTGAGTATAAAAAGTTGTAGACTACCTGACCCAAAGTGCACTCCATTTCCCCTAAGAAATCAGCAGACTTTAGACTCATGGATGAACTGTCAATGTCATAAATGAAAAACTTCAACTTCTGCAGCTCCTCAAAAAAGTAGTCTATAATAATGGCTGTTGAAAATTGAGGGTTCAATGTGTTATCCAACCTTTCTGTTCTTCCAACCTGAGAGTTAAAAACATGGTGTCAAGTAGAAGTCTATTGCATACTGAAAGGAGTATAACATTCTTAAATCAGCTCATCTCTACTGAAACAAATTTCATCCACACCTCCTAAAGAAAATCTTTCACTGTGCAAGATGACAAACTTGTACATGTCACCTTCAATGGGATTAAGTAGTATTACACTCAAAAATAAACATCCACTTCTAATTATTTCTTTTTTAGTACATTTAATGACGAAAATGGTGAACTATTGTTTCTATTTCAGTCTTAAAAAAAGTTCCTCCTGTAAATAGTAATAACAGTTTACAGCTTTCAGAACAGTTCTTGTTTTATGTACAGAAAAAGAGCGTGGGCGGGCAGCATTTTTAAATAAAGTTTATTGACTTTTAACAAACTTTTTTGAAAAGTGTAAACAGGAGGAGTTGACCTAAAATGCAAGATTAATGAAGTCTGACTTGCCAATTGAAATTTAAAGGTCATAAAGCCATAATCAAAATTAAGAGAACTGAAATAATTTTTATTATAAATTGTTTATTTTTAATCATTTTTTTCCTCCAAACCTTGGCAAGTGATAATACAGAATTAGATTTAAGGTGAAAAAGTATGTAAAAAATACAAAATTTTTCGAGGAAAGAAAATTTACAATACAAAATTAAACCACTTAAATTGAGTCATTTTGTATATAGGAAGAAGAGGAAAGGGGCACCTCTAGATAAAATATTATTGTGCCACTTAAGTTACATCAGTATAACAAAAAACTTGTAATTTTTTAGTAAAAAAGTAGAGGAATACTTTCAAAAATAGCTCAGTAAATTGTCAAAGAGATGATGTTTCATAAGTATTGAGGAAGGTACCAGTGTAAGAGTGCTTTTCTAAACATCTTTTTTGATGGTTTGCCTCTCACTAATTATGGGATACTACTATTCCAAAAGAATCTACCAATAACACATAAAAGAGGACTTCTCTAAATGAACATTTACTACACTTGATGGTGGATACAAATTGTAATTTTCCTTTTGACTAGGCATAAAAATAAGATACTTAGTTTTCGTCAAATATAAGGTCAACTTATTACTGCATAACCATTTGTAGACAGCTAGCAAATGATTCTTAATTTCACACATTAAATTGTCAAGATCACTTCCAGAAACTGTTTAAGGTGTATCATCTACATATAATTGAGTAAAAAAAAAGCAGAAGACTTGAGAAGGTCATTTATAAAAATAATGAATGGCAAAGGTCCTAGTATCAATCCTTGAGGTACACCAGTGGAGATGGAACATGACTAAAAAACAACACCATTCACATGCAGCTACTTCTTCCTGTTATTTAAATAAGATTGGAAACAGTTACTTTCCCTTTGTTGTAATCCATAATACTCAAGTTTATTTAATAATTGATGATTTACTATGCCAAAAGCTTTACTTAGGTCTAAGAATAAAGAAACCACATAGTTTCCTTGATCAAGAGCAGAAGTTATTTCTTCGATAAGACCAATTAGACAGTCAAAGGTTGTTTAACTGATCTAAATCCATATTGTTTGGAGGAAGTCATGTCTTCATCCGTAAGATAGGACATAAGCTGATTAAAAATACATTTCTCAAATATTTTACTTGCTGAAGAGAGAACTAAAACAGGTCGATAATTATTAAATATACAATAATTTTCAAAAATATTCTCGAATAATTGATTGCTGTTTTACATTTGTCATAAATGACTGCTGGAGAACCTGCCCCACGAAGTCCAACGATCTGAAATAATAAATCTCTAATCTCTAATCTAATTTCGGATCGCCGAGATTTTGCCAATAACATAAATGTGTAGCAATATCCTTGTAAAACTATAAACCTACAACTTGCTAAACAACTGCGAAACAAACAACCCACATCATTAAATTATATTTAGACCCAGTAAGTGAGGTTCTCAAGCTATTTCAATTGACTGTGGATTGCGAAACAAAAACATTCTTGAAATGAAATCAAATATATGCCTATGTACACTATTCACCTCAAACCAGCCACCATCTTTAAATGACATCACCACGGCCATTGGGTCAGACTTAGACATGACATCTTTGTCTCGCAGATTTCTGCAAGAAATATTTAGCTGAACACGAGTAACAAACTGTGAAGTTGAAGGTGCGCTTGGAGGTGCAGGAGGAGGAGGGTATGGCGCCTGCATTGTTGGTTAGAACCTTGTCTCAGCTTCTTTTTGAGACGCCTAAAACTAATTAACACATGAATACACAGCTTTCCAAGAGGTTTTCAACCTACTTCCTTCATTTAAATGAAGGAATTCGAGAGTGACATCTGCAAACCGCAAAATGCAGATGTGAAGGCAAAGGGAGGCGTTGACATAAGCCTGGTACTTAGGATTGAACAATTCATGTAACGCTAAATGACATAGTAAATGAAAACCCAACATGGCGCAGTTCGTGGGAACAGTTATTGGAACCAAGATGAACAAGACGGCAAAGATCTTGGTAACCAGACTGGCCTTGTATAACAAACTGAAAACTGTAAGTTGGTGGCTTCTTTTCTTTTTCGTGAATTTTCACAAGGACAGTTTATATTTACTTTTTAGCTTGAACATAAATTTTAACCGTATCAGTTATGCAGTCATTGATCCAGATCGGATCTTCGGTAACATTTAAGTTAGTTGGTTTCCTTTGTTTTTTTACACATTTGTTAAGGATTTTGTTGGACACCATTATTAAATACAACCATAAATAGAAAGAAAGTGGAAATAAGTAACTTGATGTGTCTAGTTTGGGGAACACACATATATATATATATATAAACCTGTTAAAAACTAATATTAAACGTATGATTGCAATGAAGAAGTAGATCAGAGGAAGAATTGCTAAAAAAGCAAGCTTTTATGGCTGGCTGACCAGTATTAATTGTTTGAAATCTGATTAAAAGGTACTCTGAGACCCAGGTTAACTGCTTACAAAATGTGGATAAAATTAATGTGTTTCTTTGAAAATTGCTGCACAGAAAAGTTATTTTCATTGTTTTCATATTTTTTTTAACTTCAATTATCTTCATTTTTCGTTTTTTTTTGTTTTTGTTTTTTATTTTTCAAGTTCTTTATAGCCAAAATCTTAAGCAGGAAACAAAGTTGAAACTTTTAACCTGTTGATTTCATTTTTTCATTTTATTGTAGTTCTTCAATGAAAGAAAAGTGTACTTTGCCCATGATGAAAATAATGAGTGTGCAATAGGGGACCTTGTGGTCATCAAGGAATGTCAAAGATTGAGCAAGAAGAAATATTTTACTGTGACAGAGATAGTTGATAAAGTCCCAAGAGTGGTTGATCCTGAGACTGGAAAGATTGTTTTGCAAGATAATAGAGAATGAAACTGTTTTAGGTATAAATATATTTTTTTACATAAATGGAAGATCACAGTATGGAGTATGGCAATAACTTCTGAATGTGAAGATGGGCAATTGAAGTCACATTTTGTTCTGAAAACTTTGACTCATCTTTGTTCAATTGGCTAGCAGTAATATTGCAAGGTGTCAAAGAGGTTTACAAGTTCATTTTGAAGTCCATAATTTTCTGTTATTTCTCCCTGAAAAAGTGAGTTGTTTCTGCATTTGCAGCAAGAGGGGAAGTCTTTAAGTTATCTACATGTAACCTTTTCGTGCTGGCCCCTAAGATTTTCTTGATCCACAATATTGGCCCAGCTAGCATCACTTTTTAATTATTCCCAACTTTTCACTTCATTTGAAGAAACAAAAATTTGAAAAGTCATCAAATAAATCATTTAGAACAGTAACACAATTCATTAAGGGAATTCTATCAATGAATTAACTAGCTGAGTGAAGAAATCAACTTTAATGCTAATAACGCCTTTTACTACTTTATTTCCTCACACTTTACCCACAGAATTGTAAAAATGTATTAGTAGTTCATGAATTAAATCCTTGAATTAAAATCAACTGCTTTTATAAGGTTGTTAATTTTACTTTGTTCCAATTTTGCAACATAAGATACAGAGTGATGAAAAAAATTTCTTTGTTTCCCTAACCTCTAGTCTCTCCTCCCACTCTCAGTTATCCCAAAGGCTTACAGAAGAATGATATTCTGAACACTAAGAGTGTACTTTTTTCTTCTTGATTTAATAAACTCTCCCCTGAGAGTTTGAAAAATGGCATTTTCAAGCTCTTAAAAATGCATTGTACCGTAATTTCCATAAGATGCCCACGGACCCAATCTCAAAGTGATTCGGTGCTGTAGTTTCTACCTTTTCCTCAAAGCGTGTCCAAGATTTCTTGAAGATAAGTTGTCCTAGTAAGAGAAGAGCAAAGTAAGCATACAATTTACTGTTGGGAAGTTTCACTTCTCGGTTAGGCTTTTAACACTTTTTTGAAATGTTAAACAAAGATAAGGAACTCAATAGTCCTATTTTCTGCCGGCAATTTGTCGGGTATACTAATCTACAGAAAAAAAATTTAACTCACTAGCGACCGAAGACTGCATATGTACACCCCTTCCCCACCCTAGTAAAAAATTAAAGCACAGCCGCGGGCGCACGGCTTTTTCCCGCCAGTTTTTAAGACTGCAAGTTCGCTCGATGTCATAATAAACCTCAGAAATATTCCGTTTTGTCAACCGATTTCTTCGAAGAAAGGAACCTTTTTTTCTAGAATCGAAACTGTCTTTAGGTCTGAATTTTTCTCTGTGTTAAACTGTAGTGGTATGACCAAGAAGCCCCGAGATGCCATTTGCAGGAAACCCTCTGCTTTAGATCAACTACTTCTGCGAATATGAGGCAATGTTTTGTTTACGTGGATACTTTGACTAGTTCGAAGAACACCTAGCCAAACAGCTTCAGCACACAGTTTCCCTTTGCTTTGGATATCGTTGAATACTGCGCATCCTCCTTTCCTAGAACAACACGATTTCATTGTCATAATACATTGAAAGAGAGCTCAGCTTTGATTCAAGTCGCAAGATTGGTCAACTAGTGAAAATTTTGGGAAATGGCAGATTGGGTCCATTGCAATAGCTGCTATGTTCGACCTGGAGGAGGAAAATTATTTTCCCTCACGAACTGTGGTCACATATATTGTGCAGATTGCCTACAAGGTGAATTAAGTGGAAAACAATTGTACCTAGAGATCTAAGCTTTAATATAGCGTGAATTAAATTTATTGTTTACGCATTTTCATCGGTTTGCATCGTCTACAGCAAACCCTGATCAGTGCACAATATGCAGGAGGGCATGCAATTCAATCGTTTTATCATCGCAGGTAAGCTTAATCAAGCATTCAATAACAACTTGGTTTAAAGTTATTTCTGAAGTGGTAGTAAAGGATATTAGCGGAAAACAGAAGATAGTTATGAAAACCCTGAGTGCTTATTTTTATTATAATTAATTTTTCTTTCACGTTAGATGAAACCTGAAGTTGAAATGTATTTTACCAATCCTATCGATTTATCCAAGAAATACTACACGCAGTTGTCTCAGGTAAAACATTCCCAAGCTGATAATGGAATAAAATACATTATTTCTCCCAGTTTTACGATATCTATATTATGTAAGGGGAAAATAAAGATAGACAACTTTAGTTATTCAAAGCCTTTGCACAAGTTAAACCAACCCAAACAAGAGACTTCTTAAAATGGTGAAATTTTTTTATTTTTTATTTCTTAAGTATTTGTATCATATTGCCAATTTGAACAAAACCACTAGGGTACTATACTTTGATTTCAACGTGAAAAGGCCATGTATTGGTAGCTGTCAAACAAGGGAATGCCTTCCTCGAGTCTAAAAAGTAGAAGGCTACCCTTGAAAACTGGTGGAATTTTCTTGTCATTTTATACCAGGTGCTGGAATTTCAGAAAAGCCACAGAGAACGACTAGCAGCAAATATCGAGAAAAAGGTACGATCTATATGTACGTCCGTAGAAAAAAAGATGATTGATCCTTTTCCTCTGTATATGTTTTATAGCTGCGAGGATCCTGCGAGAGTGGCCAGTTTTCTGCCGTTTGACTCATGCCTCTTTTTACGAGCACGCGATATCTACTTGATTTTATCTTCAAGGTTTTAGCAGCGGAGAGGCTCCAGCGACACATGTCCAGACTACAGGAACTTGAACGGTATTTAAAGTTCTATATGTTCCAACTAAATAAATCTTTAACAGAGGTTGGAAATGCTGCTTTTTAACCAGAGGTACGAATAAACTTTGCGGCGAATGCAAAAAATTTGACTTTTAAATGATGTTGAGGGGAGCTTGAATAGCATTCAAATATCAAAACTTATAAGCTCTGCTAAAATGTTCATTTGAACTAAACTAAACAATTCTCTGACACAGTAACTAGGTTCCCAGCAGCTTAGGGGAATTATTGCGTTCATAGTTCTACAATGACCTTGAGAAGTTCTACCGAGCTGACTATTCATTCAGATAGTCCAGTTCCAGTCTGTACCGAAGAGGACTGACTGTCGAGTTTGCCTTTCTTGTGTAGTACTAACGGTCTCTTTGTCTTGCATAGGGAAGTTGCTGTTCTTCAAGAGGAGAATGTTCACCTCAAGAGACTGCTTGCCAATAATTCTAGTAGACCTGGAACACCGCACAGTTATAGGAATTCACCAGGGACAACACCAAGAAGGGGTACATAACTGACCTGTATTTCCCATTTGAAATAAAAGCTTTTTTTTAAAATTTTTTTCGAAGGGGGGAAACAGCGTAAATAATCACTTATTGTTCGCCTTACAAAGATCTGTCTCTATTTACCTATTTTAATCACTGATACACCCAGTTCATATTATTTTAACTGAACCACAAAGCATGTAGCTTCATGCGATTGAATTTCGTTTGAAGAGTTATACTTGAAGTTAATCCCCTCTTTTCTAATCGTATATAAAAGGCCATACACCATCTCCGACTTGCAGTCAGTACTCATCCTCACCTTACGGAAGGACCACACCTAACAGGTAAATTTGGTCTTTTTAGTTCTTTTTCTTCGCGTGTAACTTATTTGTGAGGGTCAATCTAATTCATCTACGAGCCAAACTAGCCTTTAGCTAGGTTATTCGGCGCGAAAGATGATCTTGCGCTCTTTTCTCTTTCTTTTATTCGATTTTTGAGCATCAACCTCCAGCACGGCTTTTGGAGCTCAACTTGAGGGCATGTATAATTTCCGCTGTTTTCTTATAATAAAGCAGGTAGATTCTTATCCGTGAGGCTCGCTAGAAATAATCTTTCTCTGCTGAGATATGGGGGTCATAGGGGCTTCGCAATCGATTGATTTAGGACAAAACGTTCCATGAAAAGTTGTATTTGCCCTCTGATCGTTGTTTTTGCTTCAAAAACGATGTCTCTGTGTAAGTTTCTTATGGCAAACGTTTGAGGTCACGAGTTGTTATATGAAGGTATTACGTTTAAACTGCCTAATTTCTTGCAGTTCTCAAAAAGAAAACAAAGGGTCACATCATTGGCAGGTACGATGTATTTCAGTTATTGCTCCGTTTGAGCTGCATTTCTATTCATTTCCTCTTTTTGTGAAATTTCAGAACCAGTTATCCCGCCCTGCCTCTGGGCCAACGAGACTGTCAGTGAGAACTCCACCTTGCAATGGGTTCATGGGTAAACGTCATTTCTTTTTTCAATTTTGTAGCTTCCTTTCCTGTCTAAAAGATCTTGTTCAAACCCGCCAGTGATGTTAAAAGTTAAGCCAGGCTCTCTCAATGAAGCCAGATATACTTATGTTTTGATATGATTCAGGTTATTCTTTTCTTTTCTATTCAGAAAAATTAAACCAAAACATACCTATATTATACCTAATTATACTATAAATTGTTATGCTATTTGCAGGTACTGTTCGAGGAACTCCATCCCCAAACAAGCAGGTTTTATCCCGTCCAGGATCGGCTGGAGGGACACCAGGAACTGTTTTAAGGTATCTCAAACTTACATCTATCTATTTTGAGCCAAGAGTTTACTTCATACTTACTACCGTATATTTGGACTGTCTGATTCAACATAGGAATGTAGTAGGCTTTCGAACCGTGACCTCAATCCTATAACTTTTCTTTCCCCTTGTGATTATTTTTCATGTCCACAGGAACAATCTTCAAGGAAGACACCTCATAAGGACAGCGAACACTCCTGGGAGTTATGAAGCGGCCACGCCATCAGGTCTAGGGGCAACCGGGGTTACTTGTTCCCCCATGGCGATGTCATCACCTATCTTAACAACAAGGTCACTAGAATCGTTTATAAGCGTAGTAATTTTGCAACATTTGGTTTCTTGCACTCATGGATGATGCGACGATCAAGGAATGAAATTCAAACGATTGAAAATGAGTAAAGTTTGCGAAGTAATAAAAAAAAGCACGCACCTATAGTTTCTACAACAAGAGAAACTATCAGAATACTTCAAAATACTAGATTTATGTAAAAAAGGATCTTTATGCAGAATACCTAAGGTTAACAATGTGATGACAAGGACTTGAAGAATCTCTGTGATTAACCCTTTTCGTGGCTATGAAAATTCCAGGATCACTATTAACCCTCAGCTTTTTTTATAGCTTATTTTCAAAATAGCAAAGATCACTGACATCGATCAAAACAGTTGGTCATGACTCCAATTTAGTGAGGCTTTCCCTAGAAGCTCTAATTAATGACTACGCAACTTGCTAAAAATTTAACCCTAAGCCTCATTGCACACTACATTCTTTAGAATCTTTGTCGTCCTCTTAACATGTACATATTCTGTTGATCTGAGTGGTCCGCTCCCTAACCCTTTCACTCCCGAGATCTCACGGGTAATTCTCCTGGCTGTCTGCCATATAATTCTAATGATGTTAGTTCTGAGGAATTACTACTGGAGAAAATGATAATCTGCTAATTAATATTTTTCTATTTTCTCGTCACTTGTCTGCTTGACATTGTAAGAAGAAATTCTGTCTTGGCCATCCATGAGAGGAGTTAAAGGGTTAAAAGAGAAGCAGGGGGTGGGGTGGGTGGGTTGAATTGGTTATGCGGACGTTAACATACATACTGCATGTAAGGCCTATTTGAATCTCCTATTTTTTCTCTACCATTCAAATTGCTCTCACATGTATACGCTTTTTTACGTATTTCAGATCTACTACAACAAGCAATAATAGGATAAGCAACAGATCACAGTATACAACTCCCTCTTCGTCTCAAGCTTCATCACAAAGTAATATTTCGACTCAACTACCCGAGCGCTGCAGCCGTAAGTAGAATGTGACCCTCCAGTTAGTTTGCGTGAAAGTGCTACTGGATCTTTACAAAAAAATTACTAGAGAATTTTAAATGATAATGACTTTTTTCAGCAGAAGAGGATGAAATTTCCACACCCCCAAGTCAACTGGACCCTTCAAGACGACAAATACAGGTTTCGTTTGTGTGCCTTACCTTGACCTCTATTCTTCTTTGGAACTTGAATCAGTCATTTCGTTGTTTAAACTTTTTGTTTGTTTTGTTTTCTTTCCAACAGCTGAGATACCAGCCAAGATCAGCGATAATAAACAAACAACCTTTCCTGTAAGTGTTCATTCTTCAAAATGAATATTAGATAAGATGAGTAGGTATTGTCGGAGGGAAGATAATTAGATTAACCAATCACAAATTTGAGTCAATAACCGAAATATTTGGCATGGGACCGGGTTTTCACTTCAATGTTGTCAAGCAACAGTAAAGCCATTCCAATTAAAACTTGTTTCCCAACCTTGGCACACCTTCAGTTTTTGAGGAAAATATTCAAAACTTATGTTTCCTTAACGAACTTTCGACGGGAATGGGTTGCGGCTATAGTTTTTAATTCCGTCTGATAAACGTTGCATGGCTTATTACCAAAGGAAACATGCATTCGTTTCCCCCTAAAAAATGCTATCAGTCTAAACTTGTCCAACAATTACGGTTGCACGAAACCTTCATGGTCAAATGTAAAACAAAATAATAACTGAAGAAAATTACGACTCGAAAGTTGAGAGGAATACAATAAGCATTAACTCTTGAATAATTAACAATATTTGAGTCAATTAACGCCCTAACACCTCTCATGCGTTCATGTTTAAAGGAAACTTTCAATTTTATGCATCAGTTTTAACTCAGCACCTCTTATGGTGAAGTTTTATCGAAGGAAAATACATCTTTTTCTATGAATATACATCAAGCCTACCTTTCACAGCTTGCTTAGTAAATGGAGTTTGGCTTGGATCAGTTTATTAATTTTTGCCACAAACACGCATGCATATAAAATTTTGAATTGCGTAACTGAGGCCTTTTACCAGCATTCTCTAATTTTCATGCGCTGGTTGCACTGCAAAGAAGAAAAACGCACACAAACACACTCCCACACACCTAAAATAAACAAAATATCTGGTTCTTTCCACTGTAGTGAATTTAATCTTCAGGACTATGTTATCCTAGACAAGAAGTAGACATTACCTGTTTTGCTTGCGTCCAGCCTTTTCTTTAACGAATAAACCTTACAGACGGAAAGCAAGTTCTTGAGATCCGAAAGTTGATGTGTAGGTGATTTAAAAAATTTAATACTCCTTTTCTCGATTTTTTGTCGTTCACTTGTTCATGTCTGGCAAAAGAGATACTTAATATTCGAGAGCACCTAAAGCATTTATTACTTTTTTCGCGTAGGAGGAATTAACTAGTATCACCTGCAATCCCTTTTTTCTGATTTTCACGATATATTATTTATTCCAACCTTACCTTCTACGGTTATGTAACAACACTCAGACTATTAGTGAACAATCACAGTTCTCTCAAAATTATGCGAACTCTGTCCATGGATTAAATACCTGATTAAGCCGAGCATAAAAGTCAAAAGCGAGAATCTTTGTTAATAATGTGTAAGTGAATTTACAAACACATGTGAGAGATCACACAAAATCTGTCATCAGGATCTTAATTTCCCTTGTGTTTTACTGTCCCTTATTGCAGGTTTAGTAATATCTCAGCAAGTTCATTTTAAATCGGTCTAAAACTAGTAATTTTTTAATGAGAACGACCCAAACAGGATAAAGGCCTACTTCTGTTTTTGTTTTGATTTTTGGCTCTTCGTCTTTTCTGACTCCTCAAATATGTGGTCACTCAACTCATTTCTTACTCACAACAGGGGATACCGATGGCGGAATCATTTCAATATCTAGTTATTTCCTGCTGCCTCAGCTGCGGTTCCTTGCAAATAGGGTATCATTTCATAAGCCGTATGAAACACTTAAACAGTTACTATTAACTCTTGAAAACTTCCTCGCTCTAATACGCTAAATAAATTATATTTCCTTTCACGGCAAAGGCGGCAATTTTACCATAGTCAGATGTTGGCTACACGTAACGAGAGAAAATAAACAACGCAGCTTGATACTGATCAGAATCTTTTTTATATACATACACCGACAAAAACGGGAGTAAAATTGATTCGTGCATTTGCTTTCGCATCGCAAATGAAGTCAACAACAAGCCACCTTATCTGGTTGTTAATATTGAAAAGCAATAATAACTGGTAATGAGTCAAGAGTAATAAGCCCAATGGAATTATGCGCTGACATATGTCTATCAAACTCAGTAAAGATTCGCGGCTTAATAACGCTGATAAAATCCTAAAGTTCGCTGTCGATTTCATTCAGCTGCTGTACGCTTGGCCGAGCTGAATACTACTATAGCGGGAAGATAAAATGAAAAACCTTTCGGCGAACCAAGGGGAAGGTTTCTTTTCAGAACCCCACTACATCACTTGGATCAAGGTTGTAGCTTACACCTTTATAATCGTGACCTCCTTGGTGGGCAATGGGCTCATTATGGCAATAGTGTACAAGAATTACAACCATCACATGAAGACACCGAACAACTTCTTCGTTGTGAATACGGCGGTTGCTGATATTTTGATCACTGTATCCAGTTCGACAGAAGCCGTCATCACACTGGCTGTGTCAAACTGGCTGATCCAGGGTACTGTAGGACATGCTTTGTGCAAGCTCAAGTCCGTCGTAATGGTGTTATCTGCCCTAGTTTCCACCCAAAGTTTGGCCACGATGGCGGTGGACCGCTTCATTGTCGTGTTCTTTCCACTGAGGAGAATCATTACACGCCCTGTGGCGTGCGGAATAATCGCGATCATCTGGCTCACATCACTTGTTTTCACAGTACCGATGATATTCTCAGCGATCGTTCAAGATATTAAGGGCACTAGCATTTGCTACTTGACGTTTTGGTCGTCAAAATCAGTAGAGAGTTACTTCGTGGCCATATTCGTCTTGTTCACGTGCGTGCCTTTGGTGATCCAAGGCGTGCTGTACACTGCAGTAATGCTTAAGCTATGCCTGCGAGAGACACCGGGGAATGAGCTTCACATTCCGAATCATCACCACTACCACACGGAAAAGATGAACCGGAGAATTATTGGCATGCTCGTGGCAATAGTGGTTCTCTTTGCCGTTTGCTGGTTTCCTATCTGGATAGAAAGCATGATTTGTTTCCAAAACTTCTCCGACAGTGTTTGTCAGTCAACTCACATATACTTCATTGTGTGGTTTTTGGCTTACAGCAAAAGTGCAATCAACCCATGCATTTATTTCATTTTTAACGAGACTTTTCGCCACGGCGCTTCGACACTATGGGCGAAAATCATTCGTGGCCGTTCCCGGGGACGCTGCGGAATTGCCAGAAGACACAATAGGGTAACAGCTTTGCAGAATCGAACCGCAGGAGATAACACTCATACTACAACTTGAGAAGCACGAACGTAAATACCTGAATGTGAATTTAAATCAGCACAGCTACAAAGTCTTCGGTTTGCCACCCACTCAACGAACTAAACAAAATGTTCCTACGGTTAATATTTAAGATTAATATCATATTCACATTTCCAAATTTATTGTTGTTAGAATATGCCCAATATTAGTAGGTTTAATTGATTTGTAGCAGAATGACAGTTTGCGATATCCATTCGTCTATACCTGTCATTTAAGAACTGTAATAAAATTGTTAATTTGGTGTGTTACGTAACGTTTTATCTCTCTTTCAAATGACTTCCTCTGTTTTCTTCAAAATGTTCGATAAAATTAAGTTAGCACGCTACTTCTGCAAAACCAAATGAGGCTCCAGAAAAGGAAGAACTAATTTGAGTTGTCTTTTCTCAAGTTCAAAACGAAATACTAGCAGAATTTACTGATCACTACCTGCAAAAGAGGCTTGTAGAGCTTTTTTAATCGAAAATTTACTGCTTTGATTCTGTTTCTTTTTATTTGCTAAGGTGCTATTCCATCTTTTGAAACGACCTTGAATGATTAACTTCTCGGCCGAAATTTATCCAAACTGGATTCCACGGCTTAAGGAGAGAGTTACTAAAATTTTCACCAACAACATTACTTGGTCCATCTCGTCCACGCTCTGACGAGATAAACTCTGGACTAATCATACGATTCTCTCTCCACAGGACCACACCTGTCTGCACGCCACGTTGAGATTATGTGTTGTAAAAAGCAAATGTATAAAAACAACCTATGTTTAGATGAGTTAAAAAAAAAGTGCTAAAACCTCTAAAGGGAGTATGACAGAAGACTAACCTTTCAGTGTATAGATTGTTTAACCACATGACCAACTTAGAAATCGAGAGGAAAATTTGGAAAACCGCTCTTGAAAAGAGTTTTCTGATTTTTACTCATAATCTTCATGTAACAAAGCTCTCATCGACCCCGAGAAAAGACTGGTACAGTCTAAAATCTATAAAAAATTGGAAAAGCTACCTCAACAAAGTCCATATTTTTTAAAGTTTATTTAGTTAACTTAAACAATTTCTTGGCTTGTAACATTGATCCCGTAGTATTGTCCAGTATCTTCGAGCCAGGTGGACGAGGATCAGGATAGCCTATTCACCATGAGCTTGCGAATAATGAGAGCCGTGTTGCTAGGCAACTTAACGTACACGTATCTTTCTCATTAACAAGTATGCCAGTGTTTCAGTAACAGTCAAAAGCCCTTGCGCATGATGATACTTTTAACTGAAACTTCTCCATGTTTCGTTTACAGTACATACTTAAGCATTTGAAACTTTCTTGTTGTTTTCACGATGGAATCCTGTTCACGTCAGAGCTTTTGGAGTACTTTCGTTACAATTTCCAGACGATAACAAGTCAAATGTAGAGGATAAAATTAATCACTCCCTACTTTGAAAACGAGACTTGGAGGTGAATTGGCTATTCTGATGTAATTATACATCTATACATATAAAGGCTGTTGGTTTGTAGGATGCCAGAGTATTTTCAAAAGAACAAACGGCTCTTCTTGTACCCTCAAGCCTACTATTTTGAAATAAGAAATTCACCACTCATTTGGAGTAACAAAGGAACGTAATGCTCTTCTGCAAGTAACCATTACCGTGGGAATATACAAAACTTGGGTACTTAGAAAGTATTTACAAAACAACTTTCAGGAAAATGTGAGATAATCATGAATAAAATCAGTTGTGCTTCTATCTTATCGTCATTGCTGTGTATTTCCATGAAAAGGAGGTGGGCGCTGTTGCCGTCTGGCAGCGAGTCTTTTTCTCAAATCTCTCACCTCAGCCATGAGTTCCAGTTCACGTTTCTCAAAAGTTGCTCGCTGACGTTCAAGGGAAGGTTCTGTAGCAGCATTAAAACAAGTCTAATTAAAATGTGATCGGATCAAGTTTGAACCTCGAGTTTAAAGATACATTTTAAAAAATTAATGATGCTTCAGAAGTAAACATTCTTAATTCACTGTACTGTTCAGACCACATGCCACGCAACAGACGAATTGTTTACTTCATGACCTCATTACTCAAGAAAATATTTTACTGTAACTGAAGAGCCACGTATTGTTTTTTTTCACATTTACAAAGACTTCTTTTGGTCCAATTAAAAGGTTCTTTGAATGCTAAAAGTTTTACCTCGAGAAGTGATAGGTGTTCCGCTGGATTCTGACTCTGTCGTGGTGCTGCTCTCTGTGTTATTGGGCAGCATGGTACTTAACGGTTTTCTAGGGTGATCCGGGATTTGACGAATTTCCCTAAGCCGAGCTACGTTAAACAGAGTAAAAGAAGAAACAAATCACCCACTAATGTTTCAGCCTCCAGCATTAAAACAGAATTTCTTATTCAAAAGAGAAATGCACTCACAAAATGACTCCGAGTCGTCGGTAGTCGTAGTCTGATCTCGTGTCAGAGCACTCAGAAGATTCAAACGTCTTCTGTCCTCCTCGGCTGCCAAAGCTTTCTGTTGTCTCACTTCCGACTGTTTCACAGCCACAACGTCATTCTATAAAGATATGCAAAAAGGTAAAGAAAACCAAAATCAGGTTGGAACGTTTTCATCATATCCAACTAATTCTAGAGGCGGATGCAAAACAATGCATCCAGTAAGTATAATACCACTCCAAAATAAAAAAAATTAAGCGAAAATTTGTACCTCTTTATTCCTCAACTCATGTACAAGCGACTGAACTTCAGTCTCTCTTTCCTTATTCTCCAAAACATGCTGGGCAATCTAAAACAGTTATAGAAACAAACATTACTGCGATGATCATTCTCATCTCCACTATGAGTTTAAGTACCAACCCAGGTAGGGCAAGTTTTTGCATGAACAACTTGAAGAAATATTAACCTCTTCTTAAAAGGGTTATAAGACAGGTTGACCCTACATCGTTACAGGTTTCATGTAACCGCTTACATAAGTGCGACTTTTAAACAATCAATATTCGTAGTAATTCAGCCGCGGTTTGAAAGCAACCCAGGTTCGTACGAAGTGGTTCTAACCGTTACATTAGCAGAATTAACCGTCATGTTGACCCCTCCTTCATCAGTTCAATTCTCGTTTTTTATCTCACCTTGACTTCATTCAGCTCTCGGTGAAGATCATCCATTCTAGTCCTCATATCTACTTCTTCTTCCATATTGACAGATGTGTGTTTCTGCTGGGCATTAGCCAATTCTTCTTGAGAAATCTTATGAGAAACCAAGCAGTTTCTTTAGATCTCTGAATCAATAATTGCATCAGTGAGAGCAGAGTGAAATGACCTGACTCTCACCCGGACGATCAGAATAATAGCGGAGCTCGCGTAGCCCCATAATTATACAAAATAGTAGTAACCCATCACGCCGAAAAAATTTGGATGTACGACCTTACGACCGTACAAGGTGCTACTTTTAACATGCGTGGTCAACTGTACCGCGGGCACGCCAACGCCACGGCTTTGTCCAGTAGTCCAGTGGTCAGTGCACTGGGCTCCGAGTCGGACGACTCGGTTTCTAGTCCTGGCTTGGGCAAGGCGTTGTGCCCTTGAGACGTGCGGGGAAAAAAATGCGAGCTTCGCTTTTAGGCTTAGCTAAATCTATATATTAATCAAACTGTACAGGAAGCTACACCAGTCAACTCAGACGGTAGATTTTCTGTTGCATTACCCTTTGTGAATCAATGTCGACCTCCTGAACGGCATCCATTGTCCTCCTAAAAAGTTGCTCTTCCAATTCCTGCTGTTTTCGTTGGATCGCTTGCTCTGATCTCTGCTTAAAGGAATGCTGCAGCTCATCTCGGATCAAATCCTGTTTCATAAACAATAGAATTACGTTTAGTGAGCTTCAAATTTGTTCTCGTTCCAGGCGCCACCGAGCTTTATTCGAGGCTCACAATGGCAGGAGTCCGAGGAACGGTACTCAAAACAGTTTTCACTAGTAGTCCAGTGAAGGATGTACAGTCCAATTTGATGAAAAAGAGCCATTACAGGGCAAAAAATGTACCAACCTGTTGAAGCATTTCTTTTTGCGCTTGAAGCTCCAGTCCTTTTATCTCAGCATCTTCTACAGCGTGCCTGGTTTCTTGTTCTCTAAGCAATGCCTAAAACCGTCATAGGATGAAACAAGTATCGTTTAAACTTAACACAATTACTCTTATTAGGTAAATAGAATAATTAGTTAACAGACAAAAATAAACTGAGCTCGCAGGCATCGGTAAAGATGTCAGTAGGCCGTGGCCTAACATTTGATGACCTTGAGCGGTATTGCTGGTGTGCCTGTGGTTATACTGACCTTACGTTCTATCTCGTCATCAAGTCTTTGTAGCTCCGCTTCTTTAAGTGTTTGCTGATGATGCATGAAACGTCTGCGAACAGCGTCCAGCAGTTGCAGCTCTCGTAGATGAATCTCTCGTTTCATTGCCTGCAACCTAGAAAAAACATCTGACAATAACCATCTGACAATAAACATCTGACGATAAACATCTGACGATAAACATCTGACGATAAACATCTGACGATAAACATCTGACGATAAACATCTGACGATAAACATCTGACGATAAACATCTGACGATAAACATCTGACGATAAACATCTGACGATAAACATCTGACAATAAACATCTGACAATAAACATCTGACAATAACATTTACGGTTCGATATCTTTTTTCTCATTATTCCTTTCTATGCAGCATGCTGCATAGAGAAGAGTTGCAGTGTTCTGGTCGTTCATATTACAGAATCCTGTATAAGCTGTATAAGCTCTAGCAGAGTGGACCACTCAGCTCGTGTGCAAGACCTAACCTTCTCCTTTTTTTACCAACCTGCTTCTCTGATCGCTCAGTTTCTGTTCTTCCTGACCGATCATTCTTCTTCTTTGATTCTCAGCGTCAATCATGAGTTCTTGTTGTCGATAAAACGCTTCTTCTTCTTGTTTGCGCTGATCTGCTACCTCTTTCATCTCCTGGGCCAGTTGCCTGTCAAAAAAGGCTGCTAATGTCTAAAAGGGCTATGTCACGGTTTGTTCATCTAAAGCCAAAAATTTTCATTTTCGTCACTGATTTGAAATTCGTGACAACCCTCCTCGTCCTTAATCATCTTCGCACCTTTTTAAAATCATTTTTTCCTCTTTGGTGTTTGTTTAACCTTGCAGACGATTTCACAACGGTTTTTTAAAACATATCTAGAGAAAACTTTATGTGATGGTATTGAATACGGAATGGTCCGAGAGAATAAGGAGAGGAGAAAATATCACTATACTCAAATTTTTCTCAAAGTTTTTTTTCTTTTTTGATCTTTTGATTTCTGGTTTGTCTTCAAGGGTTTCTCTCAATTAGAATCCGTCACTTTACGTCTACTTCTTTACTTCCTCAGTCTCTTTGAAAAACGACTTTGGACCATACCTCTGTCTCAAATACTCCAGTTCTTCCTGGCGTATACGTTCTCTTTCTTGGACCTTTCAGAAAAGAACCACAGATTACGAAACTATTTCGTGCTAACAATTTGCATTCACTAGTCAAATGACCGTCTACTCAGAAAGAGAGAATTTCTACCAAGGTGGGCGGAGAAGGGGGGAACAGCGAGTGACCATCTCCCGCTCACAAGTGATCACCAATGAGTAAGACGTTCCGTCAAATATCATTCAGAAAGTAACACCGTATGATTGATTGAAAAAGGAATGTACCTGATAATCCACAATAAACTTTGGATATTTGTTGAAGATCGGATATTGTCCTTTAGTCAGTGGCATGAATGGTTCCAGCATCCTCTGCGGGTTTGCTTCTGCTGGAGTGCCATCCTGCAGTCGGTAAGCTTCACGTATAACTGCACCAATGTCGACTGCATTCCGGTTATGAAAGAAGTACTGGTCAGAAGAAAAAAGTTTTATATTCGTTACCCTTCTGCACAGGAATACCTATGGAATATTACAATTTTTACTCTGTGAGAATTATTCTTTTGATACTTAAGCAACATACTAGAGTCTCTGTTCACTATGAGTCGATTTTGTTCATGGCAGTGAACATTGTGCCATCAACCAGTGTTTGATGAAGTATTTAAAGTTTTCAAAAAAGAGCGTTTCGTCTTCTTTCTTGCCGTTCCGATGCAGCTTAGGCAACAAAAGCTGAAGTTTGACACTTAGCTTGAGGCGAAAGATTTGTCTAAGTTTAATGACATTTGTTATGAGGCGCCCTTAAACACTTTCAATCCAAAGATCTGGGGGTTCTTTCCCAAATCTGACAAAATAAATTTCTCGGTCAGCTGGTCTTGAGAATTTGGTGTTACATCGAGACTGATAATTTTCTTCTCTTGTTACTTGTGTACCTGACAGTGCATTAAACATTTAAGGAGAATTCAGTCTAATTCCAGGCCATCATCGAAGCCAAAAAGTCATGTCTAAAACACTTTCTTTTTAGTATTTTCAAACCATTTCAAACCTCAAAATCCTCTTTCCTCGTGCATTGTAACAGAGCTTTGCGTGAAACGATGACGTAAGCTACAACTACAAAGAGAAGGAACGACGGATGGTTGGAAAAAATGTTATCCCAAGCTCTCAACCACTCGTCCTTGGTCAGAACTTCAGATAAGAGCGTCTGTAGCAATGGCCAGGCGTACATCTGGAAGAGACGAAATCAATCAAAATAGTCAAGACAGTCGTTAACAGTCGGTACTGGAAAGCAAAACAAAGCATATGTCACCTGTGATGTGACATTACAGTTGACAAAGTGTTCCATCAATCTTTTATCGTGATGAACAAGTATATTTTCCACCATCCCAAGGATATTCACAGGAGGGTTTGGAAAAAATTCGAACCAATGCTGGCACCAGTTTGCTGAAGGAAAAGGAAGAAAAATGATAATTAAAAAAAAAAAACGGAGAAGCTTCACCACATTTTATGCTGTGACGTAACAAGCAAAAACGTTGAAAATATTGGGTTTGCTTCATTGTTAATGACCATCCGCTTGTGCAAAAAGTCGCAAAAATTGGTTCCAAACAGAGATCACAGCCATCTCGGTCCGCAAAAGTTTGTAAATATCAAGTTATAGTTCAAGATCAAGCCCATTTTTTAACACTTAATTATTAAATCATTATCAATCAGTGGTTCGTTTAAATGAAATAAAAAAGAAATCCTACAAAACAATTTTAAAAGCAAATGGATGATCCGGTTGAGAGATTGAGTTTTCCTACACATGGCGTCATTTTCAGGAAACTACCCGTAACAGCTTCAAATTTCATCGCGTTACTTACTCAGGATCGTTGCTATCATCTCAAAGCAGATCAGCTGGTTATTTTGAAAGAGTTTAACGAAAGGAAAGGACAGCAGAGGCAGGTAGTCTACTTCACCAAATATGGCTGACCAGTGAGCTAAGGCCGACAGCGTCCTACAACGAAATTACAAAATAAGAGAAAGAAAGGTTTCTCTTGTCGTGTGATTTTGCAGTATCATAAGGGATGTAGCTTAAAAAAAGGTTATTAATTGCTTGAAAACTAAAAAAAAGGAAAAAAACAAAGAATAAATTGAAATTTGCTGGAATCCTTGTCCTTAGATAATGCGGAAAAATCAATGCACGCCATGATACAGAAGTCACAATTGATGCCAAAATTGCTGCTATTTTTCGTGTGGCATGTGTTGAGGGAAGAGGGCATGGTTTGTCTCAGTTTCTACAAGATATCACAACCTTTGGAGGGACTACATCGAAATTGCCAATTGATACACACCTCTGGAGGACTCTCAGTAGCTTTCTACTCTTGATAGGATATTCTTCATGGATTCTCACAAAAGCACTGTGAGTTCCCTTGTCCACCAAGCTGCTGTAAGCCGCATGGTTCTCAGGAAGGTTGAGAAGAGACCGCCAAATGAACATTCTAAGGAGACAAAAATACGGAAATGTTACATTTATATCTACAGAAAAGTGCTAAGTTTAGTTTCGTTTCAACTTCAAAAATTTTGTAAGAGGTTAGTCAGTGTAGAGTCTGATTGGCACATGTAAGTAAATTATAATCAGCCTCCACAAAAGGCGTCATTTTTTAACTTTTATGCCAGCCAGAGTAAGTACGAGGCGAGAGCAAGGAAAAGAACATAAAGAGGTAGTCAGGCGCGATAGGGGAGGGATACGCGCTCACCTCAATACGCAAAAATGGCGCCCATTCTGCGGGCTAAAGATCATAGCCACAAACACTCTTGAACCTTTACGTTTTATGATCATAACATCACCAGTTTTTCTAGTACAAACCATGCGTTAGACATCTTATACATGCAAACATCACGACCGAGGGACCAATTTTAAATGGACAGAAAAGCCGAGAAGAATCGAAAACTTTGATCATTCCAACTAAAGTCCCAAGATTAACAAAACCTTGCAAATGGAATGACGAGATCCATTTTCTTTTCCGGTGGGGAATTCTGGTCTCTTTTATCATAGGTGAGCACTAAAGCTGCTGAAAATATGACATCTTTAACTGGAAAATCTGCTGTATGAGTCACCAATCTTCAAGCATAACATCCTACCTACTTGGCATTTTGAAGACTCACCTATATTTAGCAGGATATTCGCCATAGCCTTGAAGAATCGACTTGAGCCTTGCTTGATTGAGTCCCTCTGGAAGCTCCGTCTATTGCAAGATTTACGTACAATTGTGAAAAGCAATCAATGTTTGATACACAAATTGACCACCAGTCTAGCAATATGTTCACGAACATCTACATTTACAACAATGGAGGCAACTACTAGAATTCAGAAAAACAGTTGTACCTCAAGTCCCGAGTCTACATTCGTCCAAGTTGCAGAAGCCTCAGTTTTTTGACGCTGTGATTTTACAGGTGATCTAGTCCGGCTCCTTTTTGGTGTTCCACCAACTTTAGTCATGGCACTGCCTAATGACTGATTGGATTTCGCACTTTGCCGTGAATGTGATCTCTCTTCCCACACGGTTTTAACCAATGGCGGGGGCGGCTGTTAAACGAAAAATGACTGAGAATGCAATCATTCGAAAAACATGTACACATAGGATGCTAAACCTCCAATTTACAGGGTAGTCTCAAGTACTACACAGTAATATCAGTGTTAAAAGTGCCTTGTGTGCACAAAACTACACATGTGCAGGACCGACATTATTTTAGTCAGGATTTAATTTTACGGGCCTGGTGGCCTTAACTGCTCCTGTAGCATAAAGTGATAAGCAGAGATATAATTCCCTCTGGATGAGATACCTGCCTATTTTAAGCTTTCCTTAGCCAGAAATTCATCAAGTCTCACTAAAAATTTACTGTTAGCGTTTTTACAAATAAAATTTCATAACGGAGACAAAATCAGAGAGAGTGGAGTGGCTTGCTAGAGACAGAATGACCTATGGCAAAGCTTTGGTACACCACATATTTTGATCGATGATATATAAATTAACTATGATTTTTATTTTCTTTGAAAATACCTTGGAAAACTGCTGTGATAGTGCTGGAACACTATAAATATTGATGTTACCATTGTCCATTACAGCTGCGACATATCGGCCATTTGAACTGATACTGAAGTTGTTAATAATCTGTTAGCAATGGAAAAGAAAAGACGTCATGAATTATCTTGTAACCGGAAACATCATTAACTAACAGGAGATTACAAACCTTCAGGCCCTCTCCAAACAAAAATGTTCAACAACCAGATGTGGTCACAAACAGTGAGGTATGCAAACAGTACACTGATGATGAACATTGTTGCCAACTGGTTTGATTTCATCCGCTTGGTTTGAAAAATACTTTACTTCGCTCTAGCTTTTACATCAAACACTATTTTTTTTAACTCAAAGTAGATACATGTTGATGAGGTTTGATTCAGTTAGACAGCTTCATGACAGATACATCACACAATGAAAGGTGGAAGTAATCCACACCAATCTAAATATTTTTCTTGTGTCTGTTTGAGATACCTCTTGCTTTGGGAGTCCAGGTAATGATGCAGTTTTATCAATTTTCCTTTGATATTGTAGAATGGCCACGTTAGTTTACATAATCATGTTCAGTCACCAAATATGAGAAAATGGAGTGGCCTGAACTGGGCCGTAACCACTGTGGGCATTTTATGAATCTTTCCTATTACCTCATCAGCACCTCCAATCTCAAAAAGCTGTTTACAGGCATGGATGTCAATAAAGCGCAGAACACCATCTTGGGACAGGACACCAAGTGTCTAGGAAATGAGCAGAAACACTATTCAAGGATATCTAATATAGAAAAGTTTTTAAGAGGGTGTTAATTAGTAAACTCAAGTTTAATGTTCAAGGGAATGGCTTATGAAAATAACTGTAACATGTATGAGCAATATTGAGACATAATCTATTAATTTGAATTTCCCAAGCTAGCATTTCCTATAATTTTAAAAACGTCAAATGTTTTTTTCATTTAATTGTAACAGTTATGATTAAAAAAAATCTACTAACATTCACTCACAAATACTGTCACCCAATTATCTAAGTTACTTGCCCCTATTCCATAATTACCGTAATTTCCGGTCGTTTACCCGCACCGGCCGATTATTGCATACGGCGAAAAAAAAAGTCAACAGATTACCCGCACTGGTGGATAACCCGCACGTTGTTATTCAACTTTTTGGTGGCGAAAACGTGACATTAAGGTGATACATTTCAGTCTTTTAAAAGTTGTCTGATCCAACTTTCGAAAACTTGAAAGCGTCTTTGTCGAGTTTAAAGGTCAAAGAAATTCAGACGCGTGCACAATTCTGTGTCAATATTAGCATGTACTTTATTGATAAGATTATACAGTAAAAACACTAGCGGCCCATGCCCAAATCTCAACGTTTCATACTTGACAGAATGCGAATTTGTGGCCACATTTTCTGCGAGCGATCGTTCAGCGCCATGTTGATTTGTTGAAAAAAAGCTGGGTGAGTATTAAAACTTGAATTATAAAGTACTGTCGGCGATTTCTGAAAAAATCGATATCTCCGGTTCTATTGGGCCTAACAAGTCCCTTAAAACAAATTCTCTTTAGCTCAAGCTAGTGTTAAATGGAAATTTGTTACTGATGCACCGGATATCTATGGATAATTTTTGTCACCATCAAGGTTTTGTTTTCACGCGTGCCGATAATAATTTGTTCGTCGCGCAACTAATTATGCGTGAAATAAACTCGAGTCGGCATCATGTTTTCGTGCCGCTTTGCGGCACTATTAACACAATAAAATTTACTTGAGAGGTGGAAACACATGTTGGTGATATTTTTTTTTCAATTCAACTACCACTGGATTTTAAAATTGTCACATAACCCGCACCTCCCTATTACCCGCAGTGGCGCGCGTTTAATGCAAAATCAACAGATTACCCGCGGGTAAACGACCGGAAATTACGGTAGATAGTGAGTTAATGAGTAGCCTTGCAGTGTGCAGTTATTAAAAAAAAAATGACTTAAAAAAATGATCCTGTTCAATCACTGACTACTTCTCAACAAATACAAGATTCAAACAAAAAAAAAAGATTATTCACCCTCAATAGTTTATTTAGGCTTTGCCCTCATCAGCAATCATGAGACAGAAATCTTGAGCTCATAATCCACTAAATTTTGTAATAATTAAACCATGCCATTATTAGTCAATTATTGATTAATAACAGAGGTTGCTGATTCACTGATGACCTCTACAGCCACAAAAGATAACACTCATTACACTCACTAAAGGGCGTCTTATTCAATTCCATAGTTGATTGACTTTAATGGAAACTAGGAACAAGAAAATAAAATTGATGGATTGACACCTGACTGCTGCCTCCATCAAAGCTGTTACTGATGAATTCCAGTTGTCTGACAAGGCGGACTCTTGCTGGAAGCTGAATGACATGGAGAAGACGTTTGTTCTCCAGACTCCACACATGAAGAAATCGAGACCTGAAAAAAATTAAAATTGAAAAAAGAAAAGGAAACAAAAGTATATTTCGTATAATTAAGGTTATTGCCATTGGTTTAAGAAAAAATGTGTGGCAATACCAGTTAATTCATGGCCACAGTTTCTATACTAGATTTGAAGAGAAGACAGGGGGAAAGTAACATCACAAATGCAAAAAAAAAAAAATCAAAACAAGTTTTCATTCAAATTAAGTCAGTTGTAACACATGTACAGAATCAATCAGTTACAGGAATATTTTTTGGGGCCTACAATTTGGTATTTTTTATAGTGATAAATTTAAAGTCATAACTACATCTTTGAGGAAGATTTTGAATGTGGACTCACCTTCCTCCTGCAACAAGTAATCTGCCATCCCTGGGCGTGGCTAATGTTTTGTAATGGGGCTGTTTTGTGTCTTCAGGGGGAACAGGAAGCTGGAATTTACACTTGAGTGTTTCTGAATCCCATACAAATAAACTGTCATCTTTGAAACATGTCACCATGGTATTGCTCAATGGCAGGAACAAAACCTGAATGATGTATGAAAACATTTTAAGACTTGCAGATTAGAATCAAAATTGATCTTGCTTTTGAGTAACAATCAAATTCTCATCAAGTTAATCAATTTCACAACATACATGTGGCTGATGAATAGTGAATCAATTTAATACTTGTCTTGAATGGAATAAAAGATTTGAACAGTGACATGCACATGTACATGTCTATTACAGCATGTCACATGTAAAGAATATTTTACCTTAAATGCCAGTAACTCATTTACTTTTGCTACCAACTAGAGGTAAGTGTGCCAACCTTATTAGTTCATTTGTTAATTAAAGTGAGCATGAAATGGGAGAGGTCATGGCATAAAATAAATGCCTGACTGACATATTGAAAAACAACCAAAACATTTTTAAACCCTTTTTAATAAAGATGTAAGCAAAATGTTCTATAAATCCTTGCCTATTGGTCAACAAGCTAACTAGTCATCTATTTGTTCCTTTCCATCATCATTTCACCACTATTGTACAATAATTTTCAAGCAGGAAGGTGATGAGAGGAGAAATGAGATGAGAAAAATATCAACTATGGGGATAGTGTTTGATCAACCTCCAAATTCTTAGATCTAAAGTTATGAGCAATGAATGACAAAAGGTGAATAGAATCACTATTTAGATCTTGGAAGTGAAAGGGTCAAAACATGAACATTTCTTAGGATTTGTTTGCACCACTTAATATTAATTCAAACCTGCTGAATTCCAACAGTTTGAGCTCCATTTAAAGTTCTTTTACGGGAAAATGTGTCTAAGTCCCACAACTGAGCAACAGAGTTGGATGAAGTGACTGCATAACGGCCTGATGCATGAACTGATATACTTTGGATTGCTGAGTCCTGGCCTTTCATCCAGCTAACTAATTCATGGGTTTCTGAAATGAAATCATCAACGTTCAAGCCACATAATCATTAAGATTTGTCTCAAAAAAAGAACTGAATCCTTCACAGATGACAAATTAACCGTTTATACCCTAACATCAGTATGCATATTCTCCCTACTGTTCTCTAGTATACATTTACTAAGTTGCTTACAAGGAAAATTTGTTCAACAACCAAGAGCTTCTTTAGCTGGTGATCATTTCCTACATTCTCATAACCTCAATGTACAATTAAAGGGTGATATTGTAAGGGGAAATTAGATGTTGGTCACTTATAGGGGAGAAAGGGTTTAAGAAGAGCTAATCTGGGTATTTATTATAGGCATGAGAGATCAAAGAGACTTCTGGCTTGCACACTGATATCTTTGGCTGACTTTTGATAGTGGAAGGTCTAAATTTTCTCATACAGAAATTGAACCACTATATAGAATATTCTTTTGTTATGCTGAAGCTCTAATCCATGGCTATCAATCAGTCAGACTAAAGGAAATAATTCATTATTACTTAAATTAATTTCTTCTTTGGGTATGATCTTTAACCCTTTAGCTCCCAAGATCTCTCTATTAATTATCCTTATAGTCTGCCATACATTTCTTACGATGTAAGTACAGGTAATTTTTTTTCTCATCACTTGTCTGGTTGATATTGTATTGATATTGAAAGGAGAAATTTTGTCTTTGTCACTTATGAGAGTTAAAGGATTAAAGAGGAGGGGAGCAATAATATTCATTCTCCCCTGTTACATGTTCTTAGAGCAACCTTCTCAAAGAGACAAACAAAAGACAATACAGAAAAGCCATGAGATCAAATGCACCTGTATCATAACATCTCAGCGAATTGTCAGCAAGAGCCACCAACACTTCATTTTTTCTCCTCAAACAAAAGGAAAGAGCTGTGCACGGAGTTCCTGTTTTGTGGATTAATGAAAACCTGGAGAATATAGAGATAATGGAATTGTTAATTAGCTTATGAAAACCATGAAATACCTCAACATGTTCCAAAGGGTAATGATGGCACATTTTGTTTACTAGCTATCGAGGTATACAGGAATACTTTGCTGCTGAAGTGTATTTTACATCCTAGAAGCACATGACAGGGTAGCAGAAAGGTATAAGAAAAATTAAAGTTAGTATATTACGATGTTACTCCTGAGAAAGGGGAGAGAAAAAGGAGCACTGGATTTGAACAAAACATTTTTTTGTCTTTGCTTGACTTTGCAGGATTTCTTGGGGATGTGGTGTTCTCTCTTATATTGAAAGGGTTTCCATTCCTCATGTTTCAAGTTTAGTTTAGAACTCAAGGAGAAGGATCTTCCCCCAAAACTGTTGTTGAGTTAGCCCTTCCCCCCCCCCTCTCTTTCTCCAACATCCCCCGGGTTTGCAAGGACAGCTGTACAACGTTTTATAATGTAGGCACCTGCACAGGATACGACAAAAATTATAGGATCCCGTACTTCTAAAAATTGAGATATAAGCTGGCTACTTTTCAAACGCTTCTGTTCAGTCCTTAGGGTGATTAGGAGAAAATTAACACAACTGATATCGGGCACAGTTATAAATGTAGACGGCCTGATAAATCATTAAACGCACCTATTTTTGATTAAATCAAAGACAAAAATATTTCCCTGATGGTCACCAGCTGCAAAGGCTTCACCAGTTGAACTGAACGCCGTTCGAAGGAATCGGATATTTCTTCCTTGTAACGAGAAAGCACTTGTTGTGGAATGACTGATGCAGACTACCAAACTGTGAGGGATCAAAACAGTAGTCAAAATAGACACTATTTGCAAATTGTGATTCCAGTGTAATAAACATCACATCAAGAAAATCTCACCCCTCTTCCGGAGAAGGAGATGGTTTTCGCTGCCATATCTTTCTTTCCTCTTTCTTGTAAACGTCTAAAGTTTGCATGACGTCTTTGTTTTTCTCAAGAAAAACAACGAGCTCGTAAATTCGTTTCTCCCGCCATTTTGAATCTGCCTCTTGCTTGGTAACCAGGCTTCACAGCACTCGCACATGAAACTTGTTCCCAGGCTTTTTTGATGCTACACAACTGATCAAACTTTTGTCAAACAGTTCTTGCTCTGCCTCAGCGGTTTCTAGAAGTCACTTTCCCTTGGTCAATTTTCCTCTCTTGCTTCTTACTTTATTCTTCGCTAAAACGACTAACCAACTTTCCCAAGAGGGAAGTTGAAGGGAGAACTAAACATTTTAAAGGGAAATCCTCATCAAAATCAACCCATAAAGTGAACATCCCATTAAAATCTAGTGCACGAGCGTAAATAGAATCATTACAGTTCGGTGATCAATGCAGAATACCTTGCTCAACTTTCAAATCCTATCATCAATGAAAAGAAACCTTTCATATAACTCCTCATACATAATGTACTTGGCTAGTTCAGCATCTACTATCCGGCCCCAATCCCACCTGTCATAGAAAACCACATCAAAAAGGAATTCATTTGCAAATTTCTTTAGCATACAACACGATTGGAGTGGAAATCAGTTAAGGGAAATCAAAGAGTGGAAAGCAAAAACGCTCCTTTAATGTCTGTATATTTTAAATACCTTAAACTGCCTCAGTAAAATAAAGCTATTTGTTATGAAATCACAAATAACGCTATGGTTACGATAGTTCCCAATAAAATCGATCTCACTACAAGATTGAATCATTGTGTGGAAAACAACGTAGAGATCATTTTTTAAATCTAATTTTTCATCGCGCAATAAATAAAATCTCTAAAAACTTAAATATAGCTCAAAATAATCTCTTTGTCGCGATGAATCAAATGACATTTTAAAATTCCTACCAAACTCGACTTACAAGAGACATCACGCTTTACCGATCAAAGTGTTTCTCATATCGAAACGGTTTGTTGTTCTTTATCATAATCAATGCGAAAAGTGTGCAAAGAAAATCTCTACAGACAGGAGCGTTGACGTCACGAATATATGGTTATGACTTCCCGTCCTCCTCCGCGTACCATAAGCACTCGATCCAATCCTTCCGTTAGCTCGTCTAGAAACTCCATATCTGTTACATAGTCAAGGACAATTTCGTCGCAAACAACCCATACCAAAGAAAACCCGACACGGTGAGATCATGGATAGTTTAAAACAGACCGTTTACGGTAAATTTAGAACCGAAGTCGTAAGTCAACGCAATTTTTTTTTGGATGAAGAGAATCTCAAACAATGTTTTTAAATAATTCTTGTTTACCGACATATTAATTTTATATCAACGGAGAATACATAAAATCACCAAAAGATGTAGCCCCTTCACAAAATTTCCGTAAATATAGGATGTTAGAGCGCTGGACTCCAAAGAGAAATGCCCGGATTTGAAACCCGGCCGAGGTCACTGTTTTGTAGAGGAGTGGTATCTCTCAGAAAGTCTCTCTAACCAGGATTAAACAAAAGTCCTGCCAATCCTATCTTACCCGGATGAGGGGAGCACCAAGTGTGCGAAAGAAAACTCGCCAAGCCGTAGCAGTGTGGGTTTCGCGTGCGCGTGCAAGACTTGGATTTGAAAAAGACATGTGCCCCATGATAAGTTCTAACATTGGATAACAGGAATCGCTGAAACTTGACCTGAGGGTAATGAAATGAAGGTCTTCTACAACAAAAACCTGTTAAAAGAAATTCAATCACATTTAAGATGAGAAAAAAAACAAAAACAACAGCAGCAACCACGAAAGAGGATACAGTGTAGCCAATCGTTCTCCTCTGCGGGTGCTCCAGGTAAGTTGACAACGAGAAGTTGAGTTCCTGTTGACCTGTCTTTTACAAGCTGATTCAGTTTCACTGCTGTGTTCATTCGTTGCAGATTCTTCTCCTTCCTACAAAACACCGTCGCAAGCAAAATAAGATAAGCATGGAAAAAGATCCAAACTTTTTTTTAAAGTAATTTTCAGCAGGATGTCTACGGCAATGGCCAACTGCAAACAGCCAAAATGAACTCTGATTTTTCTCAATTGCTAATGCACATATTTAGACTTGGGTGCAAAAATCGACTAAAATCAGACAGCAAGGTTTGTATGAAATTTAATGTTTCCTCTCTAACCTACTTTTGAGCAAGAGGCACTATGTGATGAATACACCACAGACCCGAACATTGCCTCACTCGAAATCATGACAAATACGAAGAAGAAGCCTCAAATTCCCTAACAACAAAGAAATAGAGCATTTTGTTATGTATTGTGAAAAAGATACTTACGGTGTTCCTCTCAAACTTTCTTTTCCATCCTCTGCACTTTGGCCGTCATTTGTATATGAAGCGATTCCTGGTTGTGTCTCTTTATCACTGTCTGTATTTTTATTCACAAAAACGTCCTTGCCACTTAACGTAAAGATCAAGTCACGTTCTGGAGTAGAACTATGTACAATGTCTGTTTTGTTCTTATCTAACTCGACTCCTTTTGTGCCTTCGTCGCTTTGAATCGAGGGTTTCTCAGAAATCTTCGTGTTTTTTTTGGATGAACTCGAACCCTGTTCGTCAGAATGCGACTCCTTGCCAAAGTTACTCGTGTTCTCCGATTCTTTGCCAGTTTTATAATCGGAATTTGACCGTCTTTCGGACAAAGATCGCCTCCGGTAAGAATGTTCCACAACGTCTTGAATTTCACGTTTGCTTTCTTTTCTAGACAAGTGCATCTCACGTAACATTTGATGTCTTTGTTCCATCAATAACGTGCGTTCGTAAGTGTATTCCGAGATATCTTGGTCCATCTGAAATGTAGAAAACGTTATTACAGTGCAATCCTAAATTTTTGCAACCTTTAGGCCGAAATTAATCGGCATGCTACCAGAGGGTTCGTAAAGTCCGCGGGAGATGGCAGGGTGTGTAGATTGCGGTGATTGATTTAGGGAGGGAAGCGGCACTAGGTTCGAATTAATGATCGAGAGTTTCGGAATAAAGGTGGGCTCGAGAAAACGGAATTTTACAGTTCATCTTTCATCTTTCATAATGAATGAAAACTGCAACCACCAAATATTGAAAAAAAAACTTCGGGGAAATTTATTCTAGAAGCCAAACAACCGGCACGTTTTAGTCCATTATGTTGTTTCACACTTAATCAGGCGTTATTTCAGCTGGGGCTGAAATGTAAATTTCAAATCAAAGGCATTTGTATGACTAGAGGTACACGTTCGTACCGCAGTGAAACAATGCGCACTATTTCTGTCAATCAGTTCCCTAACGATCTTTGTGGAATTAAATTGACAATTTAAGTACCATCGTTTGAACCACCTACTCTCCTGACACAAGGAACAATTTTTCTTGCGATCTTTTCTATCGACCAATGACAAGAAGAGGCAATGAGATCAAAGCGACAATTGATAACATTTTAAAACTGGTTTACAGACCATTTCAATGACTTCAACCTGCGCCTTGATTCTCAGTTGGTACATAAATGACTCCAGATCCTTCTTCATTTGAATGCTGTTGTCCTCGAGTTCTACATTCGTTTGATTAAGAAAGCTTTTTACAAGACATTTAAACAAAGCAGACGTCAAATCGAAGCAGAACTCTTGGAAAATGATCACCATAGGAACACAGAAACAATGCGTAAGACACCGATATTAAGGGTTAAATATTCAGTCTCTTCGTACCCCTCTTATACAGTCTACAATTTCTTTTTCTTTCTGTCATTTTCTTAGTTACCTTTTTCCTTTTAGGTACGATTTGACTATCACAACGGCCCTATTACGTTCTGTTCTTCAACCTACCTTCCCTCTTTTCTTGAAAACTTATTTCCCTACAATATGAGATATTACACCTTAAGAAAAGCATCTTACCCAAATACCGCCACAAGTTCCCGAGACTTCCTGGCACTCCGTCCTACCCGTGTTACCATTGAATCATTCATATAGGCACAGAGCATTTTTTTCCCCTTTTAGATCACTCAAACTACATCTTAAGCTATGAGAAGCATTACTCTATTTCGCAGGACTTAACAGCTTTAAAAAGGGGTTTTCAAGCCGTTTTTCCCTTTATAGACCACCAAATGGACAAAGGATACGTGCCACTGTAAAAATCCTAAGATTACACTTCCTCCAAACTTTATGCTGTTTTAAGAGGAAGAGGATCAGGATCATTAAACCACCGTCATGAACTATCCACCACACGTCCACATTGCCTTCTAGGCGTTCTGTGTTGCTGGGGAACGAGTCTATTTTACGGGCAACAAGCACGGCTTGTTGACTCTTCGATACAGATCGTATGGTATCTGTAATTTAAAGAGGATATGGCAGTTTCAGTTAAATTTCGAAAGTAATCTATTGTTACATTCATTTGGTTTTTCGAAACTGCGCTTTCTGATCGGTCCAAAAAACTTGCGCCAACTAAAACCAATTGCGACTTAGTCGAGAGCATTTTCACGCGCTTCACAGCGTCTAAGGAAGTTCGCATATGTTTAATATGAGTTTCCATTGGCCAATAGAGGTATCTTTCTTTATTCCGATGTGAACACTTCGGGTTCAATTTATGGGGGGTCATTCGAAAAGGGTTCTAAACAATCATTTCAGGTGCCGGAACAAGGAGCCGAGTTAATCACCCTGACCCAGTCGGTCACCACTAGCACAAACATAAGAAATGACCCATCAGGGCTCGAGATAAAACAAGCTACTAAAGCTGATGTCATTAAAATCTGTTGAAAGCGAAGAGGTGAGGATTTTCTGAGCGTCACAAAAGTCCAGAACGTAAGAAAGGAAACCAACACTAACTGCACGACCTCTCTTTCATTCATGAAGTATTTTTAATCATATCTCGCCAAAACTAGGCCCTCTCTAACAATAATTTAAGTCACTACAAGACTTGTTCAAGGAATGAATGGGTATGGGTTGAACCTTGAAAGAATGAAAAACGAATTAAATTTCCAACGAGTTTCTTTTGTTTCACTTACGGACAAAGCTCTTCCACTGCGCTTTTTCCCGCCAGTTTTCGGGCCATGTGATCATCAAGGTATTAGGTTCTAAGCCTCCAAGGCCGGAACTCTGCGTCCTGAAGGAGAAGTATACTATCTTGAATCGGTAAAAAAACAAACACTGAAACAGAGGTTTAAATCGTTCGGACCTGGCGGGAATCTGGTTGGGAAAACCAATTAACTATCGCTAAAATAATGATCTAGTTACACCTGGTTGATGTTCGTTCAAATTTGAAAGTGTTAATAAAAGATGGTGAATTCTCATGAAACCTGATTTTTCAAATCAAATGGACAGAAAAAGGGGAAACTGAGAAAAGGAAGCAAAAAATGCGGTTCTTATACTTACAAGAAAGAAATCCCCTCTGTTACTTTGGTTGCCACGATCACCTTCAGAAAACCTCTAACTTTTTCTTCTTTCATACAGCCTTGTAAAACCTGCCGATTGTTAGAATGTCACCAAAAAATAGTACTCTTTACTAGAGTTATATTCAGGACAAAACTAATCCGGTTTTCCTT